TGCGTCTTATATATCGAATACAGCATTTTTTGCCTCCTGTAACCCCGCCCCTTCTCCAAAATGGCCGTGCATACCCTTATGGAGGCTTATAGAGTGCTGCTTGGGGGGGGGGGCAAAAAACGGCCCAATTTTTCCTCATTTCTGCCCTTCCCAGCCCCCAGGAGCTCTCTGAAAGCCTCCATAAGGGTATGCACGGCCATTTTGGAGAAGGGGCGGGGTTACAGGAGGCAAAAAATGCTGTATTCGATATATAAGACGCAGCCAAATTTTCAGCCTCTTTTTTGGGGGGGGTGCGTCTTATACTCCGAAAAATGCAGTAAATTAACAGGCAATGTCACACAAAACAGGCCTGTATGCTGTTGGACACAAACATAGTTTACAGAAATGCAAGAGGTTGATTGTGAAGAAGTCCAAAGTTAGAGCAGCAGAAGAGTAGCATAATAAGATCAAGATCCAAACTTTATTTTGTATTTGTATTTTGTATTTATTGGGATTTATAGGCTGCCCTTTTTAGTGGTTTTGGGAGGGTTATTGGTTGGCCCAAGATCAGAGAAACAAGTCCAGAATACATGGGCTACAAGACATGAGTACACAGAATCTAGGTTGGATAGATTGTTCTCATTGAAGAGCTGCCAGAAGTATACCAGCTTTCTGAAGTCTGTGACTCATTCAGAGGCTCAGATTGGGATACACAACATGTGGCCCAACTGCTCCAGGTGTTTCCTAGTGGAGTCGGCCTCAGTGGTTTGAGTGCTTCCCAACTCATGAAGATAACATTCAACCAGCAGACTTTTTACATCAGAATCATCTGATACCCTTTCCTAAAACATTGTATCTTTCATTAGCAGCAAAACTGGCTCACTTGTTTTTAACAAATTGAGGGTGCTATAATTATACTGAAAATTAATGTGGAGCATTACAGATTTCTAGAAATTAAATTATTAGAAAAATGATTTCAAAACATTGAATTATTAATTTTCCTTTTCAGGTACTGAGACCTGGTGTCCTCTGGTTTCTGAGGAATTTAAATGATCCAGATTTTAATCCAGTTCAAGAAATGATTCACTTGCCCATTTATAGACATCTCAGGAGGTTTATTTTGTCAGTGGTAAAGTTACATTTCCAGTTTCTTTATAATGTCAATTTTCTTATTGTAACAAATAACTCTGCATTCAGATTCTTTTTATAATTAAATGTCTTGCCCCTGTACTCAGCATGTCAACTAACAATTTATAATTACTCTCAGATTTTAATAGGCATTGATGATATCTTAACTTTTGTCACATTGAATCTATAGGAAATTAAACCATAAATAATGATTTATAAATATGTGTTTCTTACTGTCTTATTCTAAGGAAACGTGTTCTAAATCACCAGAAGTCTGGTTCATTTTTGTGCCTTACACTAATAGAACTTGACAAAAGCTGTCATAGATAATTTCAGTTTTTTCTATATAATCCGCATCTGAAGATTATTTAGCAATGTATACACTACATAGACTTCTTATTTTTTATGTTTTATATGAGTACTCACATTAACAGTAACTTTTTAAAATTAAGGGAACCTGATAATGTGATTTCAAGGTCAAAATAGTTATAATTGAACTCTTACTGGTTCATAAATGTGGCTTTATGAGCAGACCACTTATCAATAACCAAATTAATACCTAGATTTTGATAGTTTTTGAAATTCTTAGAGAAAACTCCCTGTGCATTTGCACTTTAATTAATTTCTGTCTAAACATTGTTTGCAAAGAGTATGGCTAAAACGTCTCCTTCTAAATTCTAAAAAAAATAAATTACAATTAGGATAGGATTTTGATTCTGTTAAATTCTATCTACCATTTTTATTTTTATTTTAAAGTCAGGGCAAAATATGGTAATGAAAAAATGGAAGCTAAGAAAGGGGAAAGAAATTTGCTATCTTCAAACATGTAGTATGAATTATGCTCATTTTTAATTTGCTTTAAATTGAAGCTAAAAATAGAAAAGTTATCTAAAGAATCTTTTTTTTATTGTTGTTTCAGATTGTCTTTGGTTCAATTGTCTTGCTCATGCTTTGGCTTCCTATACGAATTATTAAATATCTGCTGCCTCACTTTCTACCATATAATGTAATGCTCTACAGGTAAGAAAAACTATTTCATCCCATAGCTGATACTCTTTGACTTTAACATTGTATGTTTATTTGCAATGAACTACTGGTAATATAACTGTGAACTGACAACAGTGAATCAATGAATATTTATCTAGTTTGGATGGATGTTAGAATGTGGATTTAATAATATGTGAATGGATCTCAAGAGTCAACTGTTTCCCCTTTCATAATCTCTCCCACAACAAAATTGGGTTTTAGGCAACTCTTCAAATCATGATTTCTCTTCTTGGCTTTCTCACCAAAGCATATGTAGTTAATTGAAACCACAATTTCAATTAACAAGAAAACAAGAAAAACAAGAGACCCAAGTTTTCCACTGAAGTTAACATTGTATTTGACCCAAACATTTATGAAACATAATTTTTTCATATATATGAGTTGACTATCATTTGGAGGATTTTTTTTTACATGTTATGATCTGTATCTTAATATGAATCATGCTAGTCATGTGGGAGACATGCAACACTTAATTTAATTTTGCCTTGGAAGGAATATCCACAATTAACAATGTTTAAGAAAAAATGCAACTAATGATATACATCAGTACAATTAGATTTGCATCAGTAAGACAGTGAGTTTAAAATATGTCAGCTTCTTTTATTCCCACAGTGATGCTCCTGTAAGTGAACTTTCCTTAGAATTACTTTTGCTTCAAGTGGTTCTGCCCGCTTTGCTTGAACAAGGGCACACAAGGCAGTGGCTGAAGGGGCTTGTACGAGGATGGACTGTTACTGCTGGCTACTTATTGTAAGTGTGAAGAGTCCGGTCCTTTCAAATGATTGAGTTAAACTTTTTATTACTTAAATAATTGAAGCTGAGTGTTCAATGTTTGTCTGCTTTATCTTTACAGTCCAACTCAAAAGAATATGCATATAAGGGCTTAGCATGTGTTAAAAATGAAGCAGTATAAATTACTACGCAACGTTTATATTATATTTTAAGTTTGTGCAAGAGAAATTGTTTTATTCCTTTAAAATATACATTGACGATAAGTACAGGTAGTTCTTAACATGTAACCAGAACGGAGTTTGCCCCTTATGGTCACAAGTTTTGTTGCAGTCATTGTGCAGATGGCGTACCCTATTTTTCGGTTTATAAGACGCACCGGAGTATAAGATACACCAAGGTTTTGAAGAGGCAAATTTTTAAAAAAAGTTTTTGCACTCTGCAAACCTCCCCAAAACGGCTCGTTTTTCACGAAAACAGGTCTGTATCCCCCCCCCCAAAGGGCATGAATA